TTGAAGCATTCTTCATTCTTTTCAATCCTAAAAAACATCAAAATGTGATTATCACATTATGTAATTAGAATTTATAAATAGGAACTTAATAAAGTTAGATAGTGGATGTACCTGAAGTGGAGTCATACAATTTGACTTTACCATCTCTAAGATATTTAAGATAGTCTGGGCAGCTTTGCTTCTAATGCCCCTTGAATCGGCAATAGAGACAGATGGACTCTTTAGGAATGACATGTGAAACTATCTCAGCATCGATCTTTCTCTTATGGTCTGACTTTTTGACGTTAGTCGATGTCTCTCTCTTAGGAGAAGGAATCATTTCTGAACTATAATTGTTGTCATTGCCTACGTCCATGGATATTTAGGAGGTAGATGTTCCAAAAAAATTCCCTTGACCAGTGCGCGAAAGCATTGTTGCTTCAGCAACAATTAGTGAATATGTCAGATTAATAAGGGTTACGTCATGGTCTGTCATATAGTACTCGTTAACAAATTGACGATATGACTCAAGAAGCGACTAAAGAACTAAGTCAACAGCTAGATCCCTTCAGAAAACGACACCCAACATTCCCAATCTATCAATGTACAACTTCATCTTGAGGAATTATTTACACACAGACTTTCCATCTTGGTGTTTGCATGCCAATAGGGCTTGAGTAACCTTGAACTTTTTAAGTTGATGAAATTATGGGTTAGGGAGAATTACTGGAGGAGGCGGATGAAGAGAATGATTTCCAGTTCGATCAAGGCACAGAGAAGGGAACAATCTTTCACCTAGATCGGCACGTGGAAGATTATCTTCAAAGGGAAAGCCTTTTCCAAAGTATTGAGGATTACCATAGTTGTCAAAACTAGACATCTACAAAAGGGAGAAAATTCAATTAGGTTGATTTGGATCCTTAATATAACACCCAAATGAAACATTAAGGCTAGAATCCAACACAATAATTCACAATTTGGAAGAGGGATGTCGTAATCCAATTGCAAATTATTTAAAGGTAAGTAAATGACGATTTACCAATTCCACCATGAAAAGAAAATTGTAAATGAATTAGAATTTAGATGAAGTTCCTAGATCTTGTGGGATTTATTGAACTTTTCAATGGTATGTTTAATCTCGATTATGCTCTCACTTTATGACTGGGATACCGATGATCAAAAACGAGATGTGAATAACCATGAAAGTTAGCTTGGCGCTCTCAATGTCATTTATTACATAATCAATGTGCCGGTTAACCACACACGCTCCATTAATCAATGATAACTTACAAGCCACCCATTGCCAACAATATTAGTCCCAAATTAGTGTGTCGGATAACCACACATGCTCCACTAACGATGAATAAGGTGAAATGTGCAATTTCATGGGTTAACATTAAATTCACATTTTTATTAAAGTAACTAGGATTAGAAATTTTATAAAAGCGTTTAGTTACTTTATAATTCACTACACTTTTAATGAGAATTAAGTTTCCTATCCTACCCGTCCGGCTAACGACCCTCCACTAGTCAAGAGTGTGGTGGGTAAGAATGTATACCCAATGGCGGTCATTTTATAGGCCGCTTCCTTAAACATACTTTATAAACAGCTTCGTGAATGAGGCCTACTAACGGTAATAATGACTTTACTATAGATATATAATACATTAGACTTTTAATTTTGTATAGTTTAAGCGTGTATTTTAAACATTTAAAATACCAAGTGGTTTAATCTTTTAATAAATTAAAATTTTAATTTATTTAAATTTAAACCATATACGGATTTATCAATTGTGTTTTAATTAATCTTTAATTAAATTATTAATAAGATCCTTAAGGATATCTTCTAGGTTTTTCCATTTAAATTCCCAAAATTTAAGTTTTAATTTCAAATTTAAATTATAAAACAAAAAGGGTGTACTTTAAAACTTTTTTAAAATACTAGGTTAAATTTTAAATCATAATAATCTTATCATTATCCAAATTTAATCAAATCCTCTAAATATGATAAGGATATCATATTACAATTCAAAAAATTTGATTTTAGACAGTAAAAACGAAATAAGGCAATAATCCTAATCAAGATAAGATCTGAAAATTGAAAAATTGGGGAACTGACAAGTCAACTCGTTAGGTTGGCTAATAAACACATCAAGTTCATCCAAATCATCGAGTTTATACATGAACTCGTCGAGTTCCAGCTTCAGACAACCAAAAAAGATTTTGTTCCAGCTTTGGACAGATCACTATTGCAACAAATTCAACTGAAGATCATCTTAGACTCTGATACCACTGATGGGTTATGATCATAACAATAAACATATGCGTTCATGAAACCCTAATTGCTTTGCATCTAAGTTTTTCACTATTAAACATGCAAATTGAATTCCAAAGCAATAATCGTAGATCTAGCATATAATTTCAAAGTTCATACGCAAATTAGGGTTAAAAGACTACCTCACTTGTTATGTAGCAATAACAAGAACACTCTTGAAAATCCTTGACTCTTGCAAGATTAGTGCCCTAAATATTGCACATCTAATGGTTCACATACGCCCAATGCAAGAGGATGAGAGGAGAGACAAGAATTTCGGCCAGGGTATTGACGAACATATGCATTTACGAAATTCAAAGGCTTGGGGATTGGGGGGGGGGGGGGTTATATACTTAAGCCTGCTAGGGTTTTTAGGTGGAAACCCTAATTTCCTGCTTAAGGCTTAAGCAGCCTATGGACTCCTCATTATGAGGCCTTGGACGAAAATATCATAGGACTCCTATAATTTTCGTTCACTTATCATAAGGAGTCCAATAGTCTAGTTTCACAACTATCAATGATTTGCAAAACAATCACTCCATTATTAATCAGTTCCTTTAATCCCAAAATTAATGTCAAATTAATTTCTAATTAAATACAAATTAATAATACGATTTCCAAATAATATATTAATCTTATAATATATTAATAAAATCATTTTAAGTTCTAATTTATTATTTCAAATAATAAATCCTACTCTCTTTCCACCAGTCATCCTGTCAAGTTGAATGAATGAAGGCAATCCAAAATGACCGTACTACTATTAAATCAAGTACATACCAATTATAGTTATGGACTTAGACACTGAATCCAACATAAAGACTAGTAGCTTATGATCAGACATTTTGAAGGTCATGCATGTATAGTTTGCTTAAACTCATGTTATGTTATTTTAACCTATACACTAACTTTAATACTTTAAACTTTGTTTTTTAATTTTGCCAAATATTCCGCACTTTACTTTAAAAACTATTCAAAGAGTTTTCATGAATATACCTTCTTCTACTAGCCCGTACAAGGGCATTTCAATATCTTCCAAGGTGGTTATACCAATCATTCCATCTTTAATACCCTATGTTGGATAAGACACTTTATACGTTCCAGGATCCCTGCTTTGCTTCTTCAAGTGTATATATTTTTGGATTTTCTCTTTCGTTTTAACTACAGTTGGCATATGACTGACTTCCCTTTTGGAACTAATTCAATATCACATATAGTGGTATTTCAGTTAGGCCTTGTGAAAAAAAAATATAACAATTTGTTGATAAAAGTAATAAAACGGTTACTTGTTACGTGGGACTGTTAAGACAAGTTTTCTACGATTATTTTTTATTAAAATAGCATTCATGCTTTTTGCAGTTATAAAACGAATTGTGCCAAGATTTTCACAACTTATCGTTGACCACGGTTCAACGATAATGATGGATTGATTCAAATTATTCAGAATCTATTAAAAAAAAAAAAAAAAAAGGTCCATTTTTGTGAAGCAAATTGTTGGCGTAATTTGGTCGAAATATTGTATTTCTAATTTATTGATCACAAGCACCTAAAACTTATGGATTAGAATATGGCTTATGGATTAAAATATTGTATTTGTAATTTATTGATCACATTATACCGATTGAATATTGAATTCAAGTTTTCATAGAATTCGAATTCACCCTTTTCTACGAAAAAAAATTGAAGATTGAATTCATACTCATTGATGGAATTAAAGATATACAGCTATTGCCAAAAAAATACCAAGTAATTAACACTAAATAAAGATGGTGAAACTGAAGTTTGACAGTCTTTGAAGACGTGAAGCTTGTTTTTTACATGATCGCTCGATTGATAGCAATGTTGGATATGGTAGATTCACTAGATTGGTATTAGGGTTAAGGTCTGATACTAATGATTGTATGACAGCTTCTTCGAAGAAATATCTAATCAAGTATTCTTAGGTTATGTTTGGCGTACTAGCTGAAGAGCTAACTGTTAGCTGAAAAGTTGGTTGATAGTTGAAAAGCTAGCTTTTAAATAAAAAACTAGCTGATAGCTAAAAAGGTGACTGATAAAAATGACGTTTGATAAAACTAGTTGAAAAGCTAGCTGAAATATATAAAATTACATAAAATAACATGTGAGAGTATGTGTTTCTATAATTAATTAAGGGGTGTATCTGGAAATTTTTAAAAAAACTCTTAAAAAACTAGTGTAAGTAGCTTTTAAAAAACCTAGCTTATAAGCTACTTTTTGGCTTATCAAACACAACAACATAAAAAGATTCGAAAAATATGCTAGCTTATCAGCTACCTATGGCGACCAAAACATAGCCTTAATATATGATACAACATTAATATATAACTAAATAAGTTTCAAAAAGTAATACTCATAAAAGCAATATTTTAAAAATTATTTAGTCTAGTAAAAATGTTTGCTATGCATCTAAAATCATAAATAAACTCAGGTAAGATACAATAATAATTAATAAACATTTAAATTTTAAACTGTTATTTTATTTTTTTCTAAACCAGAGGCAATCCCAAAATTTTATTAATATCTTTTTGTAAATTTTAATTTACTTTAATTAATATATTGTGTAATAAATATTATTTTGTATAAAATAGCCAAGGTTGTAAATCTTATCAGAAATCTTACGGATATTATAAAATAATTTTAGAAAACATTTTATTATTAAAAGAAGACAATTTTAGTTTGTATGTTTCTTTGTATGGCAAGCTTCTCAATTAAACTATATATATTAATAGGAACTATTATCCTTCATTGCAAATACCAACAGCTCCAAGAGACACTTGTACTTGGAACATGGAGTCGCGTCTTTGTTTCTTGGCACTCTTTTTTCTCATCATGGTAGATAAATTTTTATTGTCTTGATGTTATAAATCTATGGTGCAACATTACAATGACCGTTTTTTTTTTAATTAGCTTTGTTATGCTAACCAATAGTTTTTCAAATATTGTTTAGCAGATCACTGTCACTGTCTATGCTAGGCCAAATCCTGAAGAATATCAGCAAGATTCGCATGTTGATGGAGGTTTTTTGGTGTCAACCGATGCCACAAAGAGATCAAGCCAATTCAACGAAAGAAAGTCCTCCAAAGACGACTTCGAACCAAGGCCTAATATCTCAGTGTATGATAACAGTGCAGGTTTAAAAGAAAAGAAGATGTGTCCCGATGATTTTGAGCCAAGACCAAACATTTCGATTTATGAAAACGGAGCAAGTGTAAAAGGTAAGAAGGTGGTTGAAGAAGAGTTTGAGCCAAGGCCAAATGTCTCGATATACGATAACAGTGCAAGTCCTAAAGGTAAAAAGACATTTGATGAAGAATTTGAGCCGAGACCAAGTCTCACAGCATACAAAGGTTAAGGGTACATGGTGAAGATAAGGTTTATTACGAATGAAGTGTGTAATATATTTGAAGCAAAAATAAAGCGAGGCTTAGATGTCTTGGAATCATGATATGCTTTTGAATTTCTGAGATGGAGGATATTATGTAAATTATATCCATATTTTGTTGGTTTGGATGTATCAATATTTAATTTTGGTTTGTATGCACCTTATCGGCTTATCATGCTTATAATAGTCTTCAGCTATTTTTGGGTTCAATAGTTAGATTAAAACCGAAGTTAAGACACTTCTTAAACCGGGTTTTTTTTAATCGTTGGAGGGATTTCTTGCGCGCAGTTGTTATACTCATAGGGGAGGGAAAGGTAAATCAAAATTGGCAGATTGTAATAAAAATTTGAGATAGTAGAGCCCACAAACAATTATAAAAAATAGAAGAAAAAACAAATAGAAAGAACATACCATATATAGTATGGACATTCGAGTTAAAAGTTCTCGGAATAAGTGATACACTTCATATGAAGTGTCGGTGAGGAGAAGATGATAAAATGGAAATGATTATTTCATTCCTTTTATATTTTCATTTTGGCATTAAAATTGTCAAATTATTTTAGAACTGAAACAAATATAAATGATTAAATTATCCGTTATTTGTGTATGAGTATATATATATATATATATATATATATATATATATATATATATATATATATATATATATATATATATATATATATATATATATTATATATATATATAATATATATATATAAAAGTTCTCGGAATAAGTGATACACTTCATATGAAGTGTCGGTGAGGAGAAGATAATAAAATGGAAATGATTATTTCATTCCTTTTATATTTTCATTTTGCATTAAAATTGTCAAATTATTTTAGAACTGAAACAAATATAAATGATTAAATTATCCCTTATTTGTGTATGAGTATATATATATATATATATATATATATATATATATATATATATATATATATATATATATATATATATATATATATATATATA